GGTTTCTGAGGGGAATTTGGGGTCCCTGAGGTGAATTCGGGGTCCCTCACGGAGAATTTGAGGTTTCTGAGGGGAATTTGGGGTCCCTGAGGTGAATTCGGGGTCCCTCACGGAGAATTTGAGGTTTCTGAGGGGAATTTGGGGTCCCTAAGGTGAATTCGGGGTCCCTCATGGAGGATTTGAGGTTTCTGAGGGGAATTTGGGGTCCCTAAGGTGAATTCGGGGTCCCTCATGGAGGATTTGAGGTTTCTGAGGGGAATTTGGGGTCCCTGAGGTGAATTTGGGGTCCCTCATGGAGAATTTTTTGTTTCTGAGGGGAATTTGGGGTCCCTGAGGTGAATTTGGGGTCCCTCATGGAGGATTTGAGGTTTCTGAGGGGAATTTGGGGTCCCTGAGGTGAATTCGGGGTCCCTCATGGAGAATTTGAGGTTTCTGAGGGGAATTTGGGGTCTCTGAGGTGAATTTGAGGTCCCTCATGGAGACTTTGGGGTTTCTGAGGGGAATTGGGGGTCCCTCACAGAGAATTTGAGGTTTCTGAGGGGAATTTGGGGTCCCTCACGGAGAATTTGGGGTCCCTCATGGAGAATTTGGGGTTTCTGAGGGGAATTTTGTCTTCTTGATGGGTTTTTGGGGTCCCTGATGTGAATTCGGGGTCTCTCAGGGGAAATTTGATGTTTCTGAGGGGAATTTTGTGTTCTTGACGGGTTTTTGGGGTCCCCGAGCTGGAATTCGGGATCCTTGACCCCAAATTTGGGATCCCTGACCCCGGATCCCGTGTCCCCCCCAGGCGGTTCCCAGACCCCGCTGCATTTCCAGCACGACCCCGAGCGCTCGGTGCTGACCCTGCGGCGCCCGGGGGTCCCCATCGGGGCTGACTGGAGCATCTCCCTGCGATAATGGACGGGGGGGGCCCCCGGACCCCCCCCCAAATCCCCCCGAAAATTTTTTGTTTCTGAGGGGAATTTGGGGTCCCTGAGGTGAATTCGGGGTCCCTCATGGAGAATTTGAGGTTTCTGAGGGGAATTTGGGGTCTCTGAGGTGAATTTGAGGTCCCTCATGGAGACTTTGGGGTTTCTGAGGGGAATTGGGGGTCCCTCACAGAGAATTTGAGGTTTCTGAGGGGAATTTGGGGTCCCTCACGGAGAATTTGGGGTCCCTCATGGAGAATTTGGGGTTTCTGAGGGGAATTTTGTCTTCTTGATGGGTTTTTGGGGTCCCTGATGTGAATTCGGGGTCTCTCAGGGGAAATTTGATGTTTCTGAGGGGAATTTTGTGTTCTTGACGGGTTTTTGGGGTCCCCGAGCTGGAATTCGGGATCCTTGACCCCAAATTTGGGATCCCTGACCCCGGATCCCGTGTCCCCCCCAGGCGGTTCCCAGACCCCGCTGCATTTCCAGCACGACCCCGAGCGCTCGGTGCTGACCCTGCGGCGCCCGGGGGTCCCCATCGGGGCTGACTGGAGCATCTCCCTGCGATAATGGACGGGGGGGGCCCCCGGACCCCCCCCCAAATCCCCCCGAACCCC